AATATGATGTTACCAGTTCCTTGAGTATTTTATGAAAACAACTGCATATTCAAGCAAATGTGTGCATATATATCATTTTATCACAAAGAGTAACAAGCTATACACACTGTTTTGCATCTTGTTTTATCCACTTCCCATAATGTTTTGAAATTATTCCATATTATTACATAAAGGAATGTCATTTTTTTTATAGTTTCACAGCATTCCATCGTTTGGATAAGCAACAATATATTTGAACAGTCTCCTACTGCTGGAGATTCAGATTGTCTTCCCCATGTTTTGCTATTACAAAACAATGCTACAATGAATATTCTACTTACGATTTTTTGCACATGTGCAAGTGTCTACACAGTATAAATTCCTAGAAATAGAATTTTCTGATCCAAAGGTATGTGAACTTTTTTTATTTTACTGCACATTGCCAAATATCCCTCCACAAAAAAATGTGCCAATTCTCATTAAGAATTTGTAGATTTCTATAAAATCCAACCAAGTGATTCTAAGGATCAGACAGGAGTAGAGACCAGTGGTCTAGAATATCAGCTAGTGTGCTTGGATTTGTTGATTGGATCCTTTGCTAATTTTTCTGCAAAGACTTCTTTGAAACTTTCCCTGTATCATCTAACCCAATACTTCTCAAACTTTAAATGTCCATATGAATCACCGGGAGAATGGTGGTTCTTGTTAAAAGGCAGATAACTTGAAATTCTCTATTCTAAGAAGCTCCTGGGTGAGGCTAACACTGTGGTCCACGGACCATACTTTGAATAGCAATGTCTTAAGGAACTCCCGTGGTCAGCTGCACATAGATTAGCACTTAGATTGTACTGCTTAGTACAGTAGTGCTCAAAAGTTTTAGTCTTAGGACCCCTCAGAACTCTTAAAATTATAGATCATCTCCCCCCAAAAAGCTTCATTTATGTGGGTTAAATCTGGATATTTACCATATTTGGAATTAAAACTATAATTTTTTAAAATGTTTATTTCATTTCAAATAATAATAAATCCATAACATGTTAACATAAATACCGTATTTTTAATGAAAACATTTTCCAAAATAAAGAGAATTAATGAGAAGAGTGGCATTGTTTCCATTTTAAAAAAGTCTCTGACATCTGGCTTAATAGAACATAGCTGGAATTTGTATATATTTCTGCATGCAATCTGTATTGCACATCAGGTAGCCTCTGGAGAACTCCACTGTGTGCTTGTGAAAGCTCAAGAGTGAAGAAAGCAAATAATATCCTAATATTATAAGGCAAATCATATGGACCTTTTAGATCACCTAAAAGGTTCTTGGCTGTCCCTGGGAGTCCCCACACCACACTTTAAGAACCACTAGTTTGGTGTCTGCTCATTCTGCGACACCATAGAGACTACTGATCCTTTTTTGGAGAGTAGGGGTGGGGAATTAGGTTTGTTTGTTTGTTTGTTTGTCTATTAATTGAGGTACTGGGGATTGAACCCAGGACCTCCTGCACGCAAAGCACGCTCCCTACCACTGAGCTATACCCTGCCCCCATACAGACTTCTTAAGAATAGAGACTGTATCTTATTATTGGTCTTTATTTCCATAGAGCTATCTCACATTAAGTGTGGAATCAATGTTTCTTGATTTGCTGATACTGAGAATCAGATTTTGCAAGGTATTCTCATCCTGCTCCTTTGCATGGGCTGGACCATGAACTGGAACATGGCGATATCAGGGGAGAGTGGAAATAAGCCTCTTTTCACTCACCTCCTCCATAAAGGGCCGACAGTCAAAGATACGAGGCTCACCTATAAAAAAACTAATTCCATTATGGTATCATTACGAAGTACTTTTATATCAATTCTTTTATTTGATGCTAAAAATAAAACCTACCAGCTAGGTAGAGCAGTTGTTATTATCTTCATTTTATAGATAATGAAACTGAGACTCAAACCAAGTTGCCCAAGTTTTTATAGCTAGTAAGTGACAGGTGAGCCAGGGTGGAGAAAACAGAACTCAACCTCGGATCATGAATGGATTGAAGGAAAGGTTTAATGTATTTTATTGCGTACTCTTTTTTGTGTCATGGGATGTAATACCATTTAGGGTTGAGAATATTTATAATAAGGTGCCTTTATGGTGATCGAATGTTTCCAGTTCTTTGGGAGCATTCAATCACCTGCTGAAGCTGTTTATTGCCTGATGCTTGACAATAAACATTATCCTTCAAATTGCTTTCTGCTATAGTGCTGTTGCATAATTAGGTTTTCCAGGAAGTCTGTCTTGGTGTCATCATAATTTTCATTAGCCTAGTGAGTAATGACAGCTTCTTCTGCTACCAGACAGATGTGATTATTTCTTAATAAGCCTAGTATGTTATCTTCCAAAAGAGAAGACCAGGGTGGCAATTCAGGAGCTCAGAGTCCCTGTGGAAAGAAAGGACAATTTCCGTTTGGTTTAGAGTTAGAAGTTCTGTAGTCACTGACAAAACTCTGGAAGCACAGTCCAGAGTGCTGACCCTCTCATCAGAGCTCCGATCCACAAATCCTAACAATTGAACCAGTGTCCTAGGCGGATTCTGGCCTTCTTTGGCCATGTTGAAACTTGGAGCCCTTAAAAACTATAGTAGAAAATGCTGAGAGGCAGGAAGTGTAGTGAAGACTAGGATGCTCTTCTAAATATGCCTCAAAGCTCACTCCAGGGGTCTATCAGTTGAAAAGTAAAAATGAATACAGTTAACTGGCAAATGCTGCTTCTACATAATTCAGATTTCAGTTGTTAGCTGGAAAATCCAGTTAGAGAATCTGGTGGTTAGTCTTGGCTAGACAAAATATACAGACTCAGGCTGTCTGTGCATGTGTGTGTGTGTGAGAGAGAGAGACACGCAGGGAGGGAGGAGGGGTGAGAGAGACAGATGAGATGAGATTTAGGCTTGGCCATTTGGTATCATCCAGAAATCACCCTTATTGAAAATCAATTAATAAAAACTCTTTCCAGTTTCAAGTGTATTATTTTCATTTAGTTTAACCATAGTTAGGGATATAACTAAAAAGAAATACTTGGGAAGAGATCAGCAGGACTTTTTTTTATTCTCTAACTAATCCATAAAACATGGAGAGTCACAGATGATACTCCAGTTTAAGAACTGATGACAATGAAAGCTGTGAGTATGTGTGTGTTATCTTTTACTGAGGATAAATTTCCTGGCTTATTAAATAGCTCACTTTACAGTGAAATTGGTTCATATGAAGCTTTTCTATATAGACACAGCAATTGTCTTTTTTTTTTGAGAGAGACATTTTCTTACTGACCTTTCTCTTAAGCTTCATATATTCAGTGTTAGAAGTCTCCAATGATAAAGTAGGATTTGTACTTTACCCATTAAATTTTTTATTAGGTGGTGGGGATTATGCATTCTGCTGAGTAGCAAAACATAGTAGATTCTTAAAAAATAATGGAGTCGAGTATGTGAAATAACTACCACTGGGGGGTCATCTGCTTTGTCATTATGAATCCAAGGCAGAAAGAAAACGAAGGTCCTTTTCTAGAGTTACTATGCAAGAAAAAAAATTCCCTAATTGTGGACCAAACCATAGACAAGTAATCAATACACGATTTATATAGCCTGCAAGCAGCAGCAATCAGGGAAGAGGGAATGGAGATGATTCTACTTAACCATCATTATCAAACACAAATAACTGTGAGAAATATATTTTTATTTAATAGAATCTAATGAGGTTAACAGAAAATTGCCAGTTTATCTATAACATGGAAAACTAGGCTTCAGAATGAATCCTCTAATACTGTCTCCACTCTTTACTCTCTCTCCAAAAGAATCAGTCTATACTGCCTAAGAATTCTCACCAAATATTTCTGTCACTCTTAACCCTCTTGAGGTCACTGTCTTTTAGTAAGTTAGTATTTATCAAGTGCTGAGAATGAACAGATAGATTGCTGTACAGCTCAGTATAGGTGGTTATAAAAAAATGGAGGATGGAATCTTTGCCCTGATGGCTTTCATAATCAATGAGAAAGACAAGCAAATAAAAACAATCATGCCTAGGGGGAAGGTATAGCTAAGTGGTGCTTAGCATGCAAGAGGTCCGGGGTTCAATCCCTACTACCTCCATTAAAATAAATAAGTTAATTAATTAATTAAAAACCTAGTTACCCCCCCCAGTAATAATAAATGTCTCCATTAAAAACAAACAAAAATAATCATGCCAGAAATATGTAAATGTATATATTACTGCCCACATGGAGAAAGTAGCCCGGTTTAAAACAAGATCTGTAAATTTCCAATCAGCACCTGCTTAAGTGTAAAGACAGGATGATTTAGAGCTTAATATAAAAACTGATTTTTTTTTAGTACAGAGTTCTAATTGCCATCCCAATTTGAATCACTGAATAAATGATTTTTATCTGTGCTGTACAAGTTAAGTTTGATAGCAATTTGCAAATTATTTGAGAATTACCATTTTCTCATTATATTATGTAAGCATCCACTATACACCCAGCAACGAGCTACACGTCCTCATAAACAAGCAAACCAGGAAGTAGGGTAGAAGATGTAAAATATTTGGATAAACCACAGGACTCTCCAGTTTCAACATTATGTGGAAATACAGAGTGAGCATTATTTCTGCTTTAGTTTGGGGAGTTCTCAAGGAACATGGAGATCAGTATCATTCAGTTTAATATAAAAAATTGATAGCAGCAATATGCCCAAGCTCTCTGCACAGTTTCATGGTGTATGGAGATGAACAAGTCCCGATCTCTGCCCTCAAGGAATTTATAAACAATTGTACAAAGAACTGTAGTTTGAAGCCATATGTTATTAGTAGCATTAGAGAGGACCACCCAAGATGCTATGGGGACCTTATAATAAGGGTAGTAAGAATACATCATCTTGTGATAAGGAAAGGCTTCACAAAAGCTGGAAGACAGCCTTTGAGATAGATAGGCTTTCAGATCAGTATCAGAAAACATATAGAGGGGGGCCCCGCCCCCGCCCCCATCCCGGTCCAGCCAGCTCGCTCCGGCTAGCACCGGCCCGGGGCCACCCCCGTCCCGCCCACGCAAAGCCGGGGTACCCGAGGTTCTGCGCCGCGCCCCTCCGCACTCCTGCGAACATGGCGCTGCTCGCGGCGCGGAGCGCGCGGGCCGCAGTCTGCAGCCTGCGCGCCGTCTCTGCGCCCGCCGCACCCTGCCTGCCGCGGCCTTGGGGGCTGCGGGCGGGCGCCGTCCGGACGCTGCGCACCGGCCCGGCCCTGCTCTCCGTGCGTAAATTCACAGACAAACATGAATGGATAACGACAGAAAACGATGTTGGAACAGTGGGAATCAGCAATTTTGCACAGGAAGCTTTAGGAGATGTTGTTTACTGTAGTCTGCCTGAAGTTGGGACAAAATTGAACAAACAAGAGGAGTTTGGTGCTTTGGAAAGTGTGAAAGCTGCTAGTGAACTCTATTCTCCTCTATCTGGAGAAGTTACTGAAATTAATGAAGCTCTAGCAGAAAATCCAGGACTTGTCAACAAATCTTGTTATGAAGATGGTTGGCTGATCAAGATGACACTCAGTAATCCTTCAGAACTAGATGAACTAATGAGTGAAGAAGCATATGAGAAATACATAAAATCTATTGAAGAGTGAAAATGGAACCCTTAAATAAACTAGTTTGAAACAACTTAATCTAGCATAGTTGTCTTAAATTAGTGGTGGATAGAAGATTTTTAAAAAGCAGCTTTTAGTAAAAGAAACTACTTGCAACAATGTTACCAGAAGAAAAATACCCCTTAACTAACAGCATCAGATAAATACTATGCTTTTTCAAAGCACCCTGTGATTTTTAGGCTAGGCTCGAGTTATAACATTCAGAATTTCTGAAATTATCTGTGGTAAAAACTAGTTATAGTTATAAAAAGTATGTAATTGAAGGGTAACATTGTCGTCTTAAGCCTTATATAATATTGTAACTTGCTTACATACATCCCCGGATTTGGGGTGAAAATACTTAATGATCTTCCCACTGGAAATAACTGGCAATAGAGAAAAGTTTTTGTTAGTTGTACAGTGTCAGATGAAGAACAAACAGTACTAT